CCAGCCCACCCCAGGCCCATGCGGGGATGGGGGGCGGGCGGACACTCACCATGAGCCTCTGCACCAAGCCTGGGCTGTGGGCCCTGCCTGCCTGTGCCGTCCAGTGAGGGGTGAGGCCGAGGTGGAGGCTGGTCAGCCGAGAAAGAGGACCCTGCACGGGGCGTGCAGGCTGAGCCACATTTCCTCCCCCCGTGGCCGGTCCCCAGGAGACCCGCTTCCAGGGCCTGCTGGCCCCACAGGCACCCGTGGGACAGCGCCCTTCACCCCCACCTACACGGGAGGGGATGGCAGGTAGCAGTGGTTCAGAGCCTGGAAACAGACACCAAGTCTTGTCCGGGATCCCAGGAGAAAGGGAATCCAAACTGAAAACAGCCCAAGGAACATTCTAGAAGTTTTAGAGATGAAAAACATCATTGTGCTTTCCCAAGTCCTGAGCTCTGGCTCCTTAAGCCCTCGATCAGCTGCTGGGGTTTGGCACTGCTGTTCCTCTTCCTCCTCAGTGCATGGCCCCTGCCCAGGTGCTGCCCCCACCCCCTATCTCCTCTGGCTCACGCTGTGGGAGTAGCTCATGCATGAGGGTGAGCATCACGTGTGGGGCCCGGCACTGCTCCCGGGACTCACTGCTACGGCTCTGCTGCGGACACGCCGGCTCCCCACGGGCCTGATGGGCACCACCCTCCCCTTGTTGGGCCTGTCGCCACCCTCTGACAGGTGGGGGATCCGAGGCTTGGAGCCCAGGACCACACAGAAGCCCAGAGTGGGGCTCCACCGCCCGCCCCACAGGTGCACAGGCACAGGCAGTCATGCCTGCACGCAAACACATGCACATGCACAGCTCTTCTGTACATGTGCACACGCATGGAGGGCAGGCTGTGGGCCTCGGCCTGGCCCGGTGGGTCCTCTTGTGATTGTCTCCCTCTGACAGCCCCCCCCCCCTTTTGGGGAAACAGAAGCATATTTGTCAACCCAGGAATCATGAGTTTGTGTTTTCCACGGAGGTTTCCGGAGGCACGAGGCACAGAGGAACCAGCTCCAGGACACGGGGTCTGCCCTTGGGGAAGTGGGTGCAGGAGCCCTCCCCGTGCCAGGCAGCCAGGATGGTGGCTGGCCACTCGCTCCACCACTCGGGGCTGCAGGCTGGGGCATCTGCACGTGGGCACCTAGCTGGGCGCTGCTCCTCGGGCACACTGGGTAGCACTGCCCAGCAAAGCTGTCCCTGCGCGTCGCCCCACCCGCTGACCGCCTTGCTGGGCACGTGGCCCAGGCAGGTTTCTGGGGCAGCAAGAGCAGTTACTGCCCCCAGTGGGCAGGTGAGCGAGGGGACGCCTCTGGGCCTGGCTCAGGGTCTGGGTGAAGGCTGTGGTGAGCCTGCCGCCCCCTCCCCAGTGGGAGAATGTGTGGCGCTCCAGCCCCATGTGAGCCATCGCCCCTGAGGCCCTGAGGCAAGACGGGACTAGTGCCTGTGCCACTTCCAGGGTGAGCTCGGCGGGGGCTGGGCAGGTCCTCAGGCCAGCAGACCCCTGCACTCAGCCTGGCACGGCCTGTCCATCTGCAGCTTCTCCCACCATGGCCCGGCAAGGTCCTGGTTCCTGGGTGAAGGTCTGCGGGCAGAAGCTGGGGGTGTTCTCCATGCTTGTCCTGCGCCCTGAGACACAGCTGGGAAAGGTGACAGGCAGCGCTGGGTGAATGTGTCAAGGATGCTATGTCCACGTGAAGGTGACTGACAGAGATGCCAGGGGGCAGGGGGCAGAGGCCCCAGGGGACAGGGGCAGACACCTGTCTGCAGGCTGCAGACTGAGAAATGAGTGCTTGGGTCTAAGCAGCCCAGGCTGTGGACTCCATCACAGCAGCCTGGACAGACTGAGGCAGGTCCGACAGACAAAGGGCCCAGCTGCCCTCATCTCAGGCCCACGAGGCCCACGGCTCCCTCCTGCGTGAGGCGAGCTCAGGGCTGTCCCAGGGCCTCGGACGCCCAGGAGCTGTGAGGCCAGGGTGCTTGTCTCTGGCTGCGGCTGGGCCACTTCCTGTGACTCCTGACGTTTTCTTTTATCCACGACCCCCAAGTCCTGCCCTCGAGGCCCCAAGCCCGCCCTTGAGCCCAGGCCGCCTTGGAGCTTCCTCAGGTCTCCGCCCCACGCCCTTCCTGGCGGTGCCTGGACTCTGCCTGGAGCTGGGGGAGCCGGCAAGGCCTCCCCTGGGCTGGGCCTCGGGGAGAGAAGCGCGCAGCCCCTGTCAGTCGGTGCTCGTGACCTGGGGTGAGTGTAGCCCATCGGCACCAACACCACAGGCACAGCCTCTCCTGGTGACCCGCCCGCAGGACCTCACTGCCTGTCCCCAGCTTCCCACTGCCACACGCTGGTGAGGACGGGCTCTGGTGACGGACAGGCTCATGACCGCGCCTCCGCGCCTGTGCAGTGCTGCTCCCTTGCCTGGAGCACTCCTTCCTGCTCCCCAGCGCCTCCTACTCCCGCTCAGGCCCCGGGCAAAGTGCCACCTCCTCCAGGAAGCCCTGCCCAACAGCCCATGTGCCGCATGGCGTTCGCTGCACATCAGACCACACGTGCAACAGGGCCATAGGTCTGAGTGGAGCCTCGGATCCCTCTCACCCAGCGCCTCCTGGCTGGAACTCGTAGGCAGGCATCCCTCACGGGCTCGTGGCGAGGCTGCTGACAAGCCCGCCGGCCACCGGTCATAGAACAAGCGCAGCACGTGCAAGTGTGCACAGGACATAGTCTCTGATAGTCACATCGCTGTCACTGTTCATATGTTTACTATTTATACTTGTTATGGGGGAGTATACTCTTCCTACTTATAAAAGAAAAAGTTTGCTGTAAAACAATATGCCAAGCTACGCTGGCAGCAGCCTCATGCATCTCTTTACTGCGTCTCTTCTTTTTTTAAAAATATTTTATTGATTTTTTACAGAAAGGAAGGGAGAGGGATAGAGAGTTAGAAACATCGATGAGAGAGAAACACCAATCAGCTGCCTCCTGCACACTCCCTACTGGGGATGTGCCCGCAGCCAAGTACATGCCCTTGACCAGAATCGAACCTGGGACCCTTCAGTCCGCAGGCTGACACTCTATCCACTGAGCCAAACTGGTTAGGGCCACCGCGTCTCTTGAGCAAATCATTTTCTCTGGCGCTCGATTTATTCTCGTTGTTTTGTTCACTGTGGCCGCTCAGCAAACAAGTCCACCGCCGACACCAGTGAGAGACACACCGAGTGACGCCTGGGGAGGAAGGTAGAGATGACGAACAAGTTACAGAGGTCGAGAGCCAGGCCACTGCTGGGCAGGCGGGCGTCACATCAGCTGCGACCTTGAACAAGAGAAGAGAGAGAGAGAGAGCTGTTGAAGCATCTGCTCTCCCCCCCCCCCCCCCCCCCCCGGAAAAAAAGCTGTGGAAGCATCTGCTCCCCGGATGCTTTGGGACCCATGGGTCCAGCAGCTTCTCTCCTCCTTGGAGCAGCGCCAGGGCCTGGAGGGAAGGCCGGTCACAGCGGGTCCCGGGCACTAAGGTCACGGCCACCGGACACGTTCGCTGGTTTAGAGAACGGCCAGGCCTGGCGGAGGCTGAGGCTGCTGGCTCTGGGTGGTGGGAGCAACTCAGGACCCGCCATTCACCCCCCAGTGAGGTGAGCGCGGCTGCGAGTGCTGCTGGAGGCGGCGGGAAGCTCCGGAGAAGCTGATTGTAAAGAAAACGAGGCCAGACTCTTCCTGTGGATGGAGCCCCGCTTCCTGGGGCGCCTGGAGGCCCTGGTCCACAGGGAGGCTGCAGGCCGGTCCGCTTCTAGGAGCGAGAACAGCCTTGCCCGGGGCCAGGGCAGGGCCCCAGTGGAGACCCTGTGTCTGGCACCGTGAGACCCCTGGACCTGCCGAGCAGTGAGCATCCTGGGTGCCGGCTCCTCTCCCAGGTGCCGCCTCACTGCCGGGCGGCGAGACGGGGAAGGGCTGCGTGGGGAACAACACACTTGCAGGATGTGCCTCCTGTGGACAGGCGCCCTTTGTGGATGCTCTTCACCCCGACCTCCAAGGGGTGTGCATCCTTTCAACCCCCTCTCTCGCCAGGAACCGCGGGGGTGCAGCCTTAGGCGTGTCCTGAGGCCGCCCTGTGCCTGGCTGCTGCGCAGCTGAGGGAGGACGGGTGTCACTCCAAGGTGACGGCGTCCATGCTGCACCCAGAGCCTCGCTGTGAGTCCCCAGCGAGTCAGGACTGTCACTCAGGAGGAGACACTCGCGAGGTTCGTCCATGACGTCAAAGGCCTTGCCAAGCACGAGGGAGGAGCTGCCAGCGCAGCAGCTGCGGCTGAGAGGCCCAGGGCTCCCTGGGCGAGGAGGGGCCTGCGGAGCTCCTAGCGGTGGGTGCTGAGGAGCTGGGAGGCCCAGGGCTCCCTGGGCGAGGAGGGGGTCGCCCTGCGGAGCTCCTAGCGGTGGGCCCTGAGGAGCTGGGAGGCCCAGGGCTCACCTGGGCTTGGAGCAGGGGCCTGTAGAGCTCCTAGTGGTGGGCCCTGAGGAGCTGGGAGGCCCAGGGCTCCCTGGGCGAGGAGGGGCCTGCGGAGCTCCTAGCGGTGGGTCCGCGGAGCTGAGAAGAGCCAGAGAAACGGAAGCTGCAGGGGAGGGAAAAGAAGAAAACCCCCAAGAAGACGCGCAGTGAAGAGCTCAGCGAGCTCCTGGAAAAGTCTGGAAGCACCTGGCAGGAGAGGGCTGGTGCCTGCTAGTTTCCATGGAACTGGGAGTCTCCTGACTCCCTCCTGGCCCCGCTCCATCTTGGGCTGACAGCCGACGACTGAGCCTCCTTTGCTCAAACCTCTGACAACTACAAAGCACTGGAGGCCAGAGGTGCCAAAGTAAGTGGCTGCCCACGGGTGTGATGGGCTGGGAGGCACCTTCCCTTGCGGAGCGCCGTCTCCTGTTTCCCGGTAGCTTTGCTGCCACCTCAGAACAGACAAATCATGAATGAGCAGGATGTTGAATGAGCTACAGTGGTCGGCAAACTCATTAGTCAGCAGAGCCAAATATCAACAGTACAACGACTGAAATTTCTTTTGAGAGCCAAATTTTTTAAACTTAAACTATATAGGTAGGTACATTGTTATTAACTTAATTAGGGTACTCCTAAGGCTTAGGAAGAGCCACACTCAAGGGGCCAAAGAGCCGCATGTGGCTCGCGAGCCGCAGTTTGCCGACCACAGAGCTAGAATGTTGCAAGAGCATAGTAAGCGCCTACCTCGATATGGAAGTACACGTATCGCGAGCTTTCCCAGCGGGCAGCGGCCTGGTGCAGGGCCTGGGCAGCTACCCGCGGCCAAAGGGGGGTCCTGCGGTTGGAGAAGGCACTTAGCAGTGAGCCTTGACTGGGTGAGCGTCACCTGCTGAGCGGCTGCCGGGGGCCTGGACGGGCCTCCTGCTGTCCCCCATCCTGAGGCGGGTGCAGGCACAGGGCCAGCAGAAGGGGGCCCCTTTGTGCGGGCAGCTCACCACCCAGGCCCTGGGAGCTCTGCCTCACGTAACACAAGGGCCGAGAGCACCTGGTTTTCATGGCAAAGCCCCACCCCAGAGCTCCTTTAACATCTGTTAATTAAGTGCAATAATTTTTTCTAGAAAATGGCAAAAAAAAAGTTTGAAAGCATGGACCCCAACACCAAAAGGTTTTCATTGAGAGAGGAATGTTCATGGAGCATTGTATGCTTGCAACATAATCTATGATTCAAAAAAGAAATAAATTGCCCTAGAGGTGCTCAGTGGTTAGAGCACCGGCCTGTGGACTAAAGGGTCTTGGGTTTGATTCCCAGTCAAGGGCACGCACCTCGGTTGCAGGCTCCCCCCGGCCCAGGTCAGGGTGTGTGTGTCTCTCTCACATCGATGTTTCTCTCCTCCCTCCCTCCCTTCCACCATCTCTAAAAATCAATGGAAAAACATCCTCATTCTTAAAATAATTAAAATAAAATAAACTGAGCAAATTGCCACTGACATAGTTCTGAACCGAGTGACACCTTCCTCAAGGCGGAGTTGGGTCCCAGTGGCTCTGGCCCAGGAGAGGCTGGTACAAGCTGTATGACACAGCTCTTGTTTTCAGAGCCCGAAATGCAGCTGCATCTTGCACAACACGGGGTTCCCCTTGGCAAGGGGGACGGTGACTGCGGGCACCGGGCCGCGCAGGGCGCTGACGCTGCTGGAATGGCTTGTTTACAGCTCCCACTGACTCAGCTCAGAGGCAGTGCTCCGAGGGAGCCCCGCCCGCCATGCTCCCCTGTGTCCCCCCCAAACTTCTGCATGAACCCCAGGCCATACTAGGCCCTGCGTCAGGTCCCTGCCAGACAGGCCCTGGACCCACAGTCTCACAGACAGAGCCCGACTTGCAGGGATCAGGAGATGAAGAGCTGGTGGACCTGTCCTGCCCTAGGCCTGCCCCTGGAGCCTGCGTTGGCTCCCCTGTATATCAGGGGCAAGAAGGGGACCCCTTTAGGGACTGGGGCCCTCCATCAGCACTGGCCAGGTGGCAGCTGGGACCCTCATCTCCTGCTGAGAGGACCCCAAGGGCAGGCGCTGCTGGGCCAGGGAGGTTCCTTCTCGGTCCCCTAGCCCCACCCTGTCCGCTGTCACCTCCTGGGGGCGAGAGGGCCTGCCCTGGCCTCCCGCTCCCTCTCTCCTTCAAGGTGGCTGGGGTTTTGAGTGTGGAAGGTGAGGGTGAAGAGCCAGGACAGGGAGGCCTGCAGCAGGAGCCAGGCCTGGACACCGCGGGTCAGCCGGGCGTGAGTGGACGCGGTGCCCTGGGGTGCACGAGGACACCCTCAGGCCCCCGCCCTGAGCGGGAGATGCCTGCCAATCTCTCTCTGGTACAGACCTGCTCCCTCACCCCTACCCCATCTGTCCGTCTTCTCCTGTCTGGCATTTATGTCTGTCGATCGTTCACCTATCATCTATCACTTATGTATCCACTTCTCTTTCCTCTGTTGATCAAGTATTCAATTATCTTCCCGTATCTATCCATCTTTCACCTACCAATCAGTTACTCTATCATCTCTGAGTCCATTCATCCATCATCGTCCATCTTTTACAGAAAGAAGGCTAAGCATACAGTCCCCTGCCCTGTCCCACTCAGAACCCGACTCAGGTTCCACGTGCGGCTCCCTCCCCACCCGACCACTCCAGGCTCCCCCAAGGCCAGTGCAGGCCACAGGCAGGGCTCGCCCTCCGCAAGGCTCCCCCGTGAGCCCTCCCCAACCCCCTTCTCTCTGGTGTCCCTCCAGGACACCCCACACACGTGTGCATCTCTTGCTTCTTAGACCCTCACTCATTCTTGGGGTCTCTCATGTCCCCTGGGAGGACAGCTGAGCTGCAGGGCGGCGCACGGGAGAGGTGGGAGGAGTGGAGTGTGAGGGTCCAGGAGGAGCCCTGAGAGTTGGCTCTGCTCCGCCCCCTCTCTGGGCCTCAGCACACACGGATGAGTGAGAATGCTGTAGACACCTACTGAAGACCTACTGTGTGCCGGACACAGTCCATGGGTGGGGGCACCCGTGGGGAGACCCAGGCCGACCAAGGTCCCATAAGTAGAAGCACAGGCATGAATGGGGCCACGTCACCCCTCTCTGGCTGAACTCCTCCGCATGGGGAGACTGGTGGGCAGGATGGTTGCAGCCTGGTCTTAGGCCGGCATGGCGAGGGTGGGCGGGGCTCAGACAATGGCCAGGGGGACATGGTGGCCAGTGAGTCCAGCCCACAGCCCTAAAGGCCAAGTAAACCCAATGGCCCCCTGTGATAGTGACAAGCAGAGGGTCGAAGGCCTGGGGAGGACTGCAGGGCTGGACACTGTCCCCAGGAGGTGGCGGCACGTTCCAAGGCCCAAGACGGGGACCTGTCTGGAGTGAGGGTCAGGGCTGGAGTGGCTGTTGAGGTTTGAGCCGGAAGCTAGTGTGTTGGGAGGTGGAGGCCATCATTGCCTGGTGGGCACCTTGGGATGGGGCTGTCCCCAATGCCCCAGCACCCATGCAGGCCAGCCTGGCTTGGTGGCCCAGCCCCCCATCTGAGGCTGCCCCCCGGCTGCATCCGCACAGACTTCCGGTCCTGGCCGAAGAAGGAACCAAGCCATGTGCTGGCCACATCGGAGGCGCTGCCATCGCTCCCCGTGGCTGCGGGCCACAGGCCACGTGGGATAAGGTGCAGGTGGCGTTTGCTTGGACACTGGGATGGCCAGGAGTGGGGCTGAGGGGCTGCAACAGGGCACACCATCGGCTGGCACGGGGCCAGGGGGCGGCGGGGGGTAGAGTCCACAGCTGGGAGCCTGAGAGGGGAAGGTAAGATGAGACCCACCCAGTGGGCAGACCCACCCCGACCCTGAGCCAGGCGCAGAAGCCTCCCCTCGCTCACCTGCCCACTGGGGGCAGTAACTGCTCTTGCTGCCCCAGAAACCTGCCTGGGCCACGTGCCCAGCAAGGCGGTCAGCGGGTGGGGCGACGCGCAGGGACAGCTTTGCTGGGCAGTGCTACCCAGTGTGCCCGAGGAGCAGCGCCCAGCTAGGTGCCCACGTGCAGATGCCCCAGCCTGCAGCCCCGAGTGGTGGAGCGAGTGGCCAGCCACCATCCTGGCTGCCTGGCACGGGGAGGGCTCCTGCACCCACTTCCCCAAGGGCAGACCCCGTGTCCTGGAGCTGGTTCCTCTGTGCCTCGTGCCTCCGGAAACCTCCGTGGAAAACACAAACTCATGATTCCTGGGTTGACAAATATGCTTCTGTTTCCCCAAAAGGGGGGGGGGGGCTGTCAGAGGGAGACAATCACAAGAGGACCCACCGGGCCAGGCCGAGGCCCACAGCCTGCCCTCCATGCGTGTGCACATGTACAGAAGAGCTGTGCATGTGCATGTGTTTGCGTGCAGGCATGACTGCCTGTGCCTGTGCACCTGTGGGGCGGGTGGTGGAGCCCCACTGTCGGCTTCTGTGTGGTCCTGGGCTCCAAGCCTCGGATCCCCCACCTGTCAGAGGGTGGCGACAGGCCCAACAAGGGGAGGGTGGTGCCCATCAGGCCCGTGGGGAGCCGGCGTGTCCGCAGCAGAGCCGTAGCAGTGAGTCCCGGGAGCAGTGCCGGGCCCCACACGTGATGCTCACCCTCATGCATGAGCTACTCCCACAGCCCGCGGCCGAGGCAGCTCCTGGGGTCTGTGAGGCTGTGGTGGCACAGGCCGGGCATCTGCAAAAATTGAACCTCTGCCCACCTAGCCACTGCCCACTCTGCCCACTTGCTTTTCCTGGACCTCACCCACAGGGGCCTCCTTTAGAAACCCTCTCCACGGGACCCCAGGCCCCCCAAGCAGGGCCGCCCGGCTCGACCCGGGTCCCAGCACTTTCGGAACCTGCTTCAGCATTTCCCGTGCTCATGCCGGATGTCTCGCCCACAGGCACTTCTGTTTATCCATCCCTTGGTGCCAAGCTGACCTCGCCCCCCAGACCAGACGGCAGGGTCACCTGACCATCTTAAGGGACCTGGGTGGGTGTGGGGAGAGGAGGAGTGAAGACCACAGGGGTTCCCCGGGATCCCAGGCCCCCGAGGGTCCCAGCTGAGGCCAGGCCCCCACCAGGAGATGGGGGGAGCAGGGGTCCCGGTGGAGGAGATAAAGGGCAGAGTGAGGGCTCAGGCCCTGGCGGCCTTGGGGGTGAATGGAGGGAGCTGGGGGTTCCAGCCAAGTGAAGTGAGAGCCCTCGAGACAAGCCAGGCCCCAGAGAGCACCAGGCCCTTGTTGGGGGGGGGGGCTCTCAGCCCACCTGGGCCAGCCCCGCTCCCCTTGCTCTCCTGACAGGAGGGCAGTCACGATGGAGAGTGGGGCGGGGAGACGGTGAGCGCTGGGACTGCCTGGGCCGGTCAGGGGCCCAGGCGGAGTGACCGGGAGGAGGCCCCGGCAGCTGCCTGCCACTCTTCCCCCAACGCGAGGAGGCTCCAGTCTAGGCTTCTGACCCCAAATGCCCCCAAAGTTGATGTGGGGACCAGCCACGCCTCCCCAACCCTGACACAGGCACCCCAGGCCGTCGCCTTACAAACGCGCCACGGGCCCTGGGCCTGAGAAGTGCCGGAGCCCTGAGCCGGGCAGGGCAGGTGGGTCCCTCTGCTGTGAACAGCAGCCGGTGCAGGGC